TTTAAATTTCCAAACCATCACAGATTGATAATTTTATAAAATATAATAACAATAATGAATTACTGCAAAAAAAATAAAGAGCCTGAGCCTTCATTTTCACTTGACAGACTGTCTATGTACTTACTCTGTCAAATTGTTTTAACAGTTTCTAAATATGTATTCTTAATTTTTGGACTCTCGTTAATGGTTGGTAAATGGCACATATTAGCCATTCTCACCTTGAGTAGCGTGAAGGCAGAGAACTCTATACACCTTAGAACGCTTGGACCACTGCTCCCTACTGATCTCTCCACTGAAGTGTACATCACAATTGTATCAAGTCATATAATCACCATTATTCCATTCACTTACCCAAGTGTGGTAAATTTAATTTTTCTCTTGAAAAAAAATTAGAGAAGATGCTTTACCAAAATCTCCATGGAAATATTCAAAATAAATGAATGTGTGAGAATATGTGATAAACCCAACTTTTCTGGCAAGTTCACTGGTGTAGCAGGTTCATTTGCTCTTTTTGACCCCAAGCTTTTCAGCCAAAGGCCACGAGGGCACACTCTTGGTTAGGCAATTGGGTTTACCACTTTTTGCAGAGAGGGGAAGAGAGAGAATTCACATTACACAGAATGACAGGAGCTTTCAGCAAGACGGCTTTGGAAGGAGTCTTGTAGGATTTGGTCTTTGTTGGGGTGATCAGGGGGGAAGGTCTAAAGGAAGCAGTGGTTGTCACTAAATTTCAGGCTGTCAGGAAGTAGGGGTGGTTCTAATTTGGGTATTTTATGTGTGGCACAATGATAGTTGTTATCCATGCCCAGAAAAAGCAATCAGCAAATGGCTTTGTTTATTTATCATGGTCTCCGAGTTGGCATTTTGGGAGCTTATGTCCAACAGATCAAAATGACCTGGCTGTGTCAGTCAACTTGTGATACTATGTCAGATCAATCCCAGGCATCAGAGGCTACTTCTTTTCTTTCTCAATGAAAAGTGAAAATGACACCATGTGAAATTTAACATAAATCTTATCCATTGTCTAAATCCCATTCTTTTCTTTACCAAATACTTTTGGGAATTTTCTCTGCTGATGGTACATAAATGTGTCAGCACAATTTTTGACCCAATAGTCTCTGTACTCATGCAAGATTTCTAATTTAAAAAGCAAAAAAAAAAAAAAGATAACTTGTTTTAAATTAGTCAAGCCATCCCAACGTTTCAAAGCATATCTTCTTACTTATTTATTTATTCAGAATAAGTTTGCAACATGAGGACTGCCAGGTATCCAGGCTGAGACACTTAGATGTATGAAAAAAACAATTTCACTGATATAGGTTCCATTTTTTTTTGAACAAAGAAAATTGAGTTTAAATGTGCATTTACTAAAGTCAGTATACCTACATTTGATGCCTTACTTTATTTTATCATTTTTTAAAAATTACTTTATTTTTATTTACTTGTTTTTAATTTGACCAGAGAGGGACAGAGCAAAAGTAAGAGTGAGAGTGAGTAAGAGGGAAAGTGAGAAAGCAAACCACTAGGTCTGGAACTCAAAGCATGTCCATCGTGTAGGAGTTCAGTGCCCTTACCCAGCATGTCACCTGCCGGCCCCTCCCTTACTTTAGTTTAGAATAGAGCATTACTGTGAGATAGCCTGACATCCTAAACTATGGTTTGTTTCCATTGGCTTTCCTGAAGTACTGATCCCCAGAACGGGTATCCTCGTGCAGACTTTACCTTTCTCATGCCTTTATCTCCAGCATCTAACAGTTCCTAAAGTAAAGTAGACCAATACACATCTCTGAGACTTAACTAAACGGTTCATTAGAGAGCTAAAATGTTTTAGTTCAAAATTCATGTATGGTCTTATATCTTAATAGTTCTCAACATAAAAATTTGTCTTCAAATTGTAGTCCTGGTATTGTTTTATATCATCTAAAAGAATAATGAAATTCTTTAGATTTTTAGTGTTTCTTTTTAGCATCAAAACTATATGGGCTGGCCCTATGACCTAGTAATTAAGGGAGACAGGTCCCACATGGCCAACCATATGGTTCAAATTCCAACACTGAGAACATGAAAAACACGCTGGGAGAAGAAGGTTCCACATGGCTCCAGCGAAGTAGATATTTCAGGGAATGAAGATTTTCTACTGATAATTCAGCCTCCAGCAAATGAGCTAGCGGCTAAACTTCAAGAATTTGAAAGAAACACACCATCCATCAGATGACAAGAAATCACTGCCGGATCAAGAGATATATGGGAAAATGAGAAAATACCTCTCCTCCAAGGGAAATGAGTAACTCTTCTTCATCCACAAGCAGTTTGGTGAAAATCATGGAAATGTCTGATAAGGAATTTAGAGCATTCATAATGTC